TGTAGTTTATCATGATCCCTTCCAGAAATTCAGTTTGATATTGTTATTGAAATGCCAGGTTAAGTTTGGGAAGATCTGATTTTAGATTAAATGAAACCCATAAAACTAGCTGAAGAATCTTAGGTTATTCAGAAAATTAGTTCACATATTGCATTAAGCTATCATATGGCTTGCTCAATAGTGGATTAACATGTTGTATCATCCTACCTAATTGTGGTTTGTTCAATAAATCAAAATTCCATAAAACGATGGCTTCACTCAATACTGTACTGTATAATCGTATACCAATTATAAGAACACAACTTGAATTCTATAAAAAAATTCTATAAATTCTATAATAACTACTATAATTTTTCAGCCCTCTCCTAACGCATGAAGTAAGGAAGTAGATAAAACTTTTTTCTTCACAAAAGCAGCATGCTGTCAGATTTTAAAAAAAGAAACCTATCTTTAATGTGTGATGTATAAGTGTGTAACATTGTTTTTTAATGTTACAAGACAGAAACAAAATGAGGTTATAGCAACATTTTATTGAGAGCAGCGGATTTCTATCAGGGATGGGAACCTGTTGCCCTTGAAATATTGCTGAATTATAATACCCAGCAGCTTTAACTAGCATAACTAATAACATAGGGTGTTGAGAATTACAGTTCAACAATAGTGGGAGGGCTCCAAGTTTCTGACTCCTGTTTTAGCTCCGATTTCTGACATAGGAACAAAGGCACTTCAAGCTGCTGTTCAAAGCTATTAATTTAAACCCATTAATTCTATCATTTACATATATTTTAATTTTTACTAATATCATTATATCTTAGTATTATCTTTTTGGGAAGGTGGCAGAAGACGTAAAATTGGAGCAATAATAAAACTAAATATTTTATGAGAAATCACCCCACAATTTTCTGTTCAGAGAATGGCTGCCACCAGTTAAGCATTCACTTACCCAAGAGTAACTGTCACTTATCTCTATATTGTAGTGACCACAAAACAGTCACCTCTTGGATATGACTCAAGGGAAAATTACTACGAAAAAGTAATCTCATGATAAACAGGCCACAGTTATTTGTTATCTTTTAATTAAGAAATGGATGTTCTTTTCTTGAGTTTGTATTTTATCACTGTGAATAAAATAAAATAAAAATACTGGAAAAAAAGAAATGGAAGGCAATAATAATAATAATAATAATAATAATAATAATAATAATATTGGAAGGGACCTTGAAGGTCATCTAGTCCAACTCCCTGCTCAGGCAGGAAATCCTATACCCATGGTGGCAAACCTATGGTCAGAAATTGAAAACTATAGTCATGTAAATTTTAGTTATACTAAACTATTAAAAAGAACATTGATCCATACACTACTGATTAAAAAGTCCACAGGAAAAAAAATCTTTTATAGCGATATGGAAGAATGAGAAAAAAAAGGAAAATGAAAAATTTCAGAAAAAAACAGTTCTCAACCACAATGCTTGTGTGTCACCCATTCTCCTCTTTTCCCCTATAGATTAGATTTAAATTTGTGTGAGCATTGAAAATGACTTCTATGAAATATTTTCCTTTTTATAGTGTCTAAAACACTTTTAAAAATAAGTTCCTCTATTCCAAATATATAGCATGAACATTTTACATAATCTACATTACAGAACGCAATTCCTCTATCTATTATAGAGATGCAAAGTATTTAAATCCAAATGCATCTATACTTTGATAGTAAGCATGGTATATATTTCATTTTTTCCCTATGGAAGCTGATTTTCTACCCCTATATAAGTGGCCTCGTCTTTTCCACAAATATTAGATTTGTATTCCTATGCAAATATATGGAAGTGAGAAAGAAAAAAAATATATACAGGAAATATACAGAACTAGTAGTTAGTTGATTCAGTCTATTCAAAACCACAGATTAAGTGGCTCTGAATTATACCATCAAGAGATAAATATACCATCACCTAGTATTAAGTATATTAATATATATTATATATAGTATACATTATCAGTAATTGTGTGCATGTGTGTATTGCTATAAAATAAGTTGGCTGCAGATGTCCAGTTTATTGGTTCAAATTATTTCTTGGCAACAGCTGTTTGCCAAGAGATATTTGCAAACCATCACACAACAAGCACTGTATTTAGATGTAATTTTGAATACTATGGACAGATTTAAAAATCAAAATCAAATGTGCTAAAGATACTTTGCGACAGGTGCTCCAAAACAATGCACCATTTAGAGTACTCTAGTAGATATATTATGCAAACCTACTGAACAAGCATATAACTCCTTTTTTCTCCCAGGTTTCTCCTTACCCATTCCTCAGATCTACTCATTACAATCATAAACCCAGTCACAGGTGAACACTAATTATTTAAACTGCATAACCTGAAGAATCACTGTTGAAGAATATGAATATTAGATTTGATTAAACTTATGATGAGACGCTCCGTGGCATTAACTAGTAGAAGCATTTACTGACTTAAATTTAGATCAACCAGCTGTGATAAGATACTTGGATGTGTGATTTTACCACCCTAAACTCTGCCTGTCTATTACTTTCAAGTAGACAGGCTATCAACATGAACAACAATTCGGCTGTCAGATAGACCCCTGGTTTTAGGAAGACTCAAGTACTCTGACTTTGTAATTTCAGAACTGGCCATTACAGCAATTTAAATTTTAACAGCCACTTGCTTAGAAAAAGATGGGGATTATCAGGAAAGAAAAAAGTAACCAGATCAGTGGTGGGATTCAAATATGTGAACAACCAGTTCTCTGTGTGGATGCCATTTCCGGAAGCCCATTCTGGGCCTGGGCAACAAAAAATTAGCTACTGGTTATGCTAAAGTGGTGTGAACCGGTTCAATCCCACCCCTCAACCAGATGCAATTGTACCTTCAAACATAGTTTAATATCTGAATCATGTTGCCTCCTATCTATTCTTAAATACTCATGCATATACCTGTAAGTTCAATTAACATATTGTACGAGATAGGCTCAAAGCCTCCAATTAATAGGAAACTCACTGGGTAACTTTGAGCCATTAATTCTGTTTTACTCCGGCCTATTTCACAGAATTATTGCTGTGAGGTGAGAATGAGAGGAAGACACCTATAAACCTCTTCACTGAAATCTCAAGAGAAAAGCTAGAATATAAAAGCAAATAAGTTATATACATAAAAATGCCACGATCTGAGCCGAGGTGGCACAGCAGTTAGAGTGCAGTACTGCAGGCCACTTTAGCTGACTGTGTTCAGCAGGTCAGCGGTTCAAATCTCACCGGCTCAAGGTTGACTCAGCCTTCCATCCTTCCGAGGTAGGTAAAATGAGGACCCAGATTGTGGGGGGCAATGTAAATATATATATATATATATATATATATATATATATATATATATATATATACACATACATATATATATATATATATATACATTGCTTACTGGTGTACACCGCTTAGAGAGTGCTTGCACTTAAAGTGGTATATAAGTCTCATAAATAAATAAATAAATAAATCTCTTAAAAACTTCATATATTGGTAAATGGGAGCTACAAAATGTTACCATATAGAACGCCCTATTTCTAGGCCCAGCCAATCCCTTAATTGGGATAACCTACTTTTTACTTTCTTCTTGGCTATTTTGTTTTTAGACACTGTAGACACTGAATATGGTCCATTCTCACTGGGCTGTTGTTTTTGTTTATTCGAAAGAGATTGGCCTTTTAAACTTCTAAAAAACTCTCCGAAAATTCATTTTTTATGAATTATTCTCAAATGTATCCAATGTTTTCAATATTCCTATTCTGTTGACAATCACAAGTGATTTTTTATATCAGAGGAATTAATTTAAATGCATTATAGTCATTGTCAATACTTTCTTTAAAATAAACATCTTCAGCATTATGTCTTACTCAGAAAATATTGAAAATTGTTAATTACTAGTAGGAGCGTCAGGTTTTCCTCATATTGTGTTAATCAATATATTTAATTGATCTCAACAGAGCAAGTAATTCAATTCCAAGCATTTTGAGCTGAACTGGACTTTAGGAAAGTTCAACTGGACTTTAGGAAAGCTGTCGAGTCTGTAGAGGCTTTTATTTTATGATGGGATTGTTACCTAACAATTGGGGTTGGGCAAAAGAAAGTAAAGAAATATTTTTCACAGGGCTTGAAGAAACAAAATAGTTTCATAGATTTAGTGGCAATTTTAATATTTAATGCCCATAAGGAATTTAGGAGAAAACACTATTATAGCAATGAATCATTATCAAGCTGCATCTTTAGATATGACAGAACCATACAAACCGGTAGTGTAATTTAACTTCACTCCCATACATCAGTCTGTCCTGCTTTATAGCAACATATAAATCAATCTATGCTATGATATAGTGGTACACTTTATACTGAATAAATACAAAAACTCACATTTCACTGATATAAGTTCTATAAATAGATAACACGCTTAAGAAAACTTTACACACTTGTTTTTCAATCATATTATTGCAGTTGAACAATACACTTTTAGGCATGGGAGGGGGGGTCATTTGTTTTTCAGTCAGTGCCTTATGCTTAATTTATCCAGTGATGTCAATCTAGTACTAGTGACATTATAATTGCTTCCATGGTAGCAAATTGTAAAGTCACAAACACTGATTGATTCATTTCATGCTGCCACAATTCAGAAAGGAAGGTCAGGCATTTTCTTTAATTAAGATAAAGAATTATTTATAAGTCTGAACACAGTTCTTTCATCTCATTTTTCTTTCACATGATTAAAAAAACAGCAATTAATTTCTTGTACATTTTTAGAATGTAGAGAAAGTTATAGAACATCATGGTTTTCCTGGGGGTTAGAGGGAGAAATAATAATTTCAGTTACACTTAGTAACATAGGTATGTGTATAATATAACCAGTACTTGCTATAATTGTTCTCTTTATACAATAGTTATCAATCAAGTATTTGTAAATGAATTACTTTGCCTTTCAAGGACATAAAATTTACTTACCAACAATATTAGTCTTTGATATTTCCTTTTCAATTCTTTTAAACTATCTGAAGGTTCTGCACCCAAGATGCTATACCAGTCCTTTTTGGATGCTATGTTTTCAAAAGCCATTGCATGACTAGGTATTTCCAGTATCTGTTTAATTATTAGAACAAAGTAAGGAAAGTGTTAGTTTAAATGACAAAAAAACTAATGTTTCTAAGCATGACTCAAAAAAAATTAAGCAAGGTATTTCTGATATCTTTAAATCAACAGAGAGGTCAAATTATTACAAAGGGAGAGATTACTTTTTCCCAACTTATATATTCCTGCATATATATTCTGAAAACCAACAAGCTCCGATTTCTCCAATGAAGACATGCTGAAATTGTAATTGCCATCTTAAGAGCAACATGTCAAATTATTATGGAGAATGCTCATATTGAAATTAGTGAGAGGAATAGTAAAAACAGTATTAAAAGTATGTTAAAATAACAGAAAAAATGCCCATTAAATTGACAAAAATATTATGTAGGCCAAAATGAATCAATAAAATTAATACCGGATTTCACAAAAGGTAAAAAAATATATATTACAACACAATGACTTTAAGCCAGCAAAAGCTGAAAATTAAAGTTCAAATGTATAGAGTGAAATAAAAGGAGGTTTTAGAAAATATTTTTCTGAGTATTTTTGCCAGGATTCAATAAAATCATATAATTGATTTCTTGTGCTTAAAGGAGTTTTTTGTTTGATTTTTGCTACAATAACTCTGAATAGGATTTTTAAAAGTGAAGGCACTTCGAAACTGATAGGCACTTTCAAGTAGACTAGCATTAGAAGTGTCTAAAGCCAGTTCTTTGGATTCCAGCTATTGAAAAAGTTTCTTTGAATAAACACTCAAGATGGTGTGTATTACAAAATATATTAATCCCTCTGATTTACCCCATAGAAAGATAAAAAGGACTGCAGCTTTGTTTACTGTTAGCACATTTTTATGATGCCTTAAAAATACATAAACTTTTATAAAACTATTTTTAAGATTAAAAATGGAGAGAAAAATACCAACATGAAAAAGTGCTGACTTTGAATCAACCATACTGAGGAAAAAGGCAATCCCAAGGACTTGAAGTAGTAAAATACATAATACAATTCATGTCAGGCACTGGCTAAGAGCTCATTACATTAATGAACAGCAAAGAAAGAAAAAGGGCTTTAAACGTGAAGCAATCATGACAGCATCTCATTAGCCACTGGGGCCAGGGAGACAATTACACAAGGAACTGAACTCTTGAAGAACAAATATCCATAACTCTTAACACAATGAAAGCTCTTCGTGTTACTCATGGAAGCCACTTCCTCCATTTGACAGTGCTTATCCAAAATGCTAAAAAAGTCCACTTTCACAAAGTCCACTTAGGAATAAGAAAAGAGTTTGAAAAGTCTTTGGTAAGGAATTAGAAACACATAAGACTTAAGAAACTGCTATTATCTCTACCAACGCAGAGTTCAACCAGAAGACCATCTTGTAGGATCCGAATTAACCACTGAACTTTCAGCTCCATCTAAGCCAGTGGTTCTCAACCTTTCTAATGCCGCGACCCCATAATACAGTTCCCCATGTTGTGGTGACTCCCAACCACTTATACATCACTGGGTGCCAGATGCATGGCCAAAGAAAAGGGGAAAAAAATGGCGGACAGCCTTGTTTGGCGACCCCCGTGAAATGGTCATTCGACCCCAAATGGGGTCCCGACCCACAGGTTGAGAACCACTGATCTAAGCCATGAATTTCCACTATTTTTGTCCCATCTTGCTTCCTACTAATATACGCTAATAGAGAAGAATTTGAGCTTTAGATCATCTTGTATTTCAGAATTAGTAATGGCTGCATTCAAAATAAGATTATAGCAAAAGAATACAATTGTCCTCCCAACTGCAATTGGGACCAGCAACTCCATTGCTAAGTGATGAGATTGTAGAGTGAAACATCATGTGACTGTGCCCACCTATGCTGTCAGTTCCAGCTGTAGTTAAGCAAATCGTGTGCAGTCGTTAAGCATGTTACATGACTGCGAGTTGTATCTTTCCCATTTTGCTTGTCAGAAGACATCTGTAAAGTTGAAAATGGTGATCATGAGATCACAAGATGCTGCAGCCATCATAAATGTACTCTGGTTGCTAATCAACTAAATCACAATCACATGACAATGGGGACACTGAGTACCGCAAGTTTGGAGACTGGTCATAAGTTTTTCAGAGCCACTGTAACTTTGAATGGTTAATGAATGAGCAGTGTGTAAACAAGGATGACCTCTCTATGCTGCTTAGCAATTCAGCCTTGGACCCCAGAACGTACATCCATACATTCTATGTGTTATTTTACTTTATGCTGTTATCCAGAGAAATTGGACTGTGGCAATATGGAATCCAGAAAGAAAGGTTGGTGCTGTGATCCCCAGTTCTATAGAACCTAGATTTGAAAATAATATGTGCTAGAACTGAGATCTGGTATATGTATATGTTAGAAATGTTCTGAAATTCGAAATAGACAATTCTGGCTTTTGATAAGCTCTCCCAGATAAACCAAACATGAAAAATGATCACATGAGCTTATTCTACTTTATTATAAGGTTACATTAACAGAACCTTGCAAGTCTGAAAATACAAATCTCCCATTGTCACTTTTAATAGTCTGATATGTTACGTGGATCTTTTTTAAAAAAAATTTCTTTGCTGGTTAAGCAGTTGCAGGCTCCTCCTAGGTCAGTAGTTCTCAACCTGTGGGTCGCGACCCCTTTAGGGGTCGAACGACCCTTTCACAGGGGTCGCCTAAAACCATCGGAAAACATATATTTCTGATAGTCTTAGGAACCGAGATACCGCTCCTCTATCCGTCTCCACACGGCTTCGAGCTAGGGGCCATTGCAGCACCGGATTCGTTTCCGTCGAGCATCTCCTAAGGGAGGCTGCGCTGCTTCATGGCCCTTTCCGCGGAGGAGGCTGAACTAAGCTCTACTGGCGCTGTCACCCTCTTGGCTCTCTCTCTCTCTCCCTCTCCCCGCCTGGGTGCTTCTCCAACCAGGCTGGGCAGAGCGGCCTTCCTGCCCCCCCTCCCCGGCCATCTCGAGCCGGGCAGGCCGGCGACCTTCGGAAGTGAGGCGAGGACAGGTGAGGCGCGCTGAGCCCCAGGAGCGGCAGGTGAGTGGGCAGCGGCGGTGCGCTCTTGGAGAGCCCTTAGGGTTGGGGTCACCACAACATGAGGAACTGTATTAAAATGTTGTGGCATTAGGAAGGTTGAGAACCACTGTCCGAGGTAGTATCTCTTCTCCTCCTCCCTCAAAGTCATTCCCACTTACCATTCCACAAGTGTTTTAAACCCCAAGCGTGTTTTCAAACCAACAAAATTATATTGGATTCAAAATGTTTCCAAGAACACAAAGCATTTCAAGACCTCATTTCCATGAAGGACAATTATACTTAATATCGCTGTCAATATACATTTCCACAATGGAAGATGCATTCATTGGGTGTACAGAATAGGATTATTCTAGACCAGGGGTAGGCAACCTTGGCTCTTTTATGACTCGTGAACTTCAACTCCCAGAATTCTTGAGCCAGCCATGCTGAGGGAAAAGGGAGAGGTTTCCAAGCTGAGACATGCTGGCTCAGGAATTCTGGGAGTTGAAGTCCACGAGTCATAAAAGAGCCAAGGTTGCCTACCTCTGTTCTAGACCCTCCCTTTGCTAGCAGAAAAAAAAAGTTGGTTGCTTTAATACAGGGGTGTCAAACTGGCAACCCATGGGCCAGATGCGTCACGCGCAGGCCATGCCCACTCCAGCTCCACAAAGGCAAAAAAGTCGTGATACGTCACGTGACGCAATCAAGTTTGACACCCGTGCTTTAATGCAAGGGATAGAATTCCTGAAGCTTTGAACCAAGGCTGGGAAACACATGGATTTAATATAGTTTTTCTCAGTCTTAGGTTGACTTTGGAATTTTCAAAAGGATAAGAAGCCCATATGACTGAAGCAATTATACTATAGTATAGCTCAGGGGTAGGCAATTTTGGCTCTTTTATGACTCGTGGACTTCAATTCCCAGAATTCCTGAGCCAGCCATGCTGGCTCAGGAATTCTGGGAGTAGAAGTCCACGAGTCATAAGAGAGCCAAGGTTGCCTACCCCTGGTATAGCTTGTTTCTTAATTTCTGGCCTTTTACCATCTTTTCACTGTCTGAACCCATCCTATCTGCTCTATTTTCTCTTTATATTATATATTATTTTTATATATTATATATCATAGATCCCTTTTGAAAAACTTATGAAAAGGGCTTATTCTTTAGCATTAATGTTAAAAAGTTGTTGCAGATGATATAGCATTGCAACATTCTTCTTACATAATAAAAAGACTATCAGTAAGAATGTTAAGAAAATTTGCTGTTTCCTGAAAAATGGTCCAATATTTTCTGTAATGGTTAGCCTTATCAATTACTTTTCAGTTGGAACTTCATAAGCAGTTGAAAAAAAGAGTATTCAGATTTTACTAGCTTTAATCTGCACAATGTGGAGTTAACGTTTAATAATTAAAAAGAAAATGTCTCAGAAATTCACTTTTTACAGTGAATCAAAGTCTCTTTAGATAGAGAGATGGACTGCATATAAATTTAATAAATAAATAAAGCAATATAAATGCCTAGTGAGTTTCCTTCTGGAAGGTATTAATTAAGAAACATTCTGAAGCCTTCTCCCTTTGTTGCCAGGAAATATATTGTTGCAAGATGAATTGCCAAAGCAATTACAAAGTCACTTTATAGCTGGAATGAGTACTCCAGAGACTGCTCTTTATATAAATATGTATATGAGTGTGTGTGCATGAGAGTGTGTGTCCGTTCACACATCTGCACAGAGAGCCATGATGCAACCACACTAACCGTAAGGTACAGCTCAAATGTTCAGATTCTGGAATGGGACAGTAATGGGAATAAAGAAAAATAGGTGCATTTACACCCTTTCAATTTGACTTATGGCCTAGTACAACATACTATGGGTCAGCAGCCAGTCAAATTTGAAGGGGAAAAGATGATTTTTTAAAAAAACTTTTTGTTTTGTTATCTTAATCTGGTTGACTTTTTCATGTGGCTTGTGAATTTTGCAAGCTGCCCAGAGTCTTCTGGAGTAGGCAGCCATATGAAATGAAATAAATTGAAATTAAATGAATGGATACATGTGACACCTTTCAGCAGTTTCTTAAAGCAAACACTTATTTTCTAAGCATTGGGTAGCAGTATTATGAGGCCAGAAAAAATGCAGTTTCTTTAAGAGATTGTCAACAAGTACATGGAACATTTTTCCATGCTCCAAAATCACTGTTTTTTTCCTTTTTAAATCTGGTTTGCTATTAGAACCAATAATAGTGGGCATCATGGAAATCTGGTGGCTTGGAGAAATATATAGGCATCTCTGTAAATATGCTTTGTAAAAAGGATTTAAGCAGTATGGAAGTAGTAATGTTCTGTACACTAAAGCAGACATAGTAGCTACATTCTCAGACATACAATCATAAATGTTGCTGTTTGGAACTCATAATTTATGAAGTAAAATGTACAATTCCAGCACACCATAGCAAAGGAGAAAGCACTGTAGTAAATGATGATATCTGTTACTTAGTAAATGGGTAAGAGGTATTATTTTATCCTAAATTCTATGAAATTTTGGCAAGAAAATCAAACTTTTATGCATTTTTCTGATCTTCTGATTTCAAAACATGGACTTTGGGGGGGGGGGAGAAAATAAAAACCTGTAATGTCATGAAACATTTGATCGTTAAGATTATACAAGATGCACGGGAAACAGGAGGACTTAAGGCGCCTAATTTAAAATTGTATTATGATGCGGTGGCTTTAACTCTGATTAGTGATTGGCTTAACTTAACAAATAAAAATATACTTCTTCTTGAGGGATGGGATTTATTATATGGATGGCATGCATATTTAATTTATAATAAAAAAATAGATCAGGTTTTTAAATCTCATATTTTAAGAAACACTTTATTACGTGTCTGGAAGAAGTATTATTATAGGTTAAATTATAAAATTCCAATTGGGGGGATTCCAGGACACGTGATAGAGGGGGTATCTAGGGGAGTGAATTTGGATAGGATTTCTTATAAGGAATTACTTAGTTTGGTAGGGAAGGATTGGCAATTAAAATCTTTAGCTGAGTTGAAGCAAGAAAATACTGTACACTCTTGGTTTCAGTATAATCAATTGTTAGTTAGGTGGAGTTTAGATCAAAAGGTTGGTATTACTTTAGAGGACGTGAATTTGGTAAAACAGATTAAAGATCAAACTCGAGCCCATATAAAGAGAATTTATAATGTTTTAATAGAATTGGATTCTGAAACGGAGTTAGTTAAAGATTGTATGGTAAAATGGGCTCAAAATATTCAAGAGCCGATTCTATTGGATACATGGGAGACAATTTGGGTTAGAAATGTAAAATTTACTCAAGCTCAAAATTTAAGAGAAAACTTTTATAAAATGTTTTACAGGTGGCATTTGGATCCTCAAAAGCTGTCTTGTATGTATCCTAATTTACAGCCCAAATGTTGGAGATGTGGAAGCTTAGATGCAACTTATTTTCATATTTGGTGGACTTGTAGAAATATAAAAGCTTTTTGGATTAAGATCTGGTGGAACATTCAAAAGATTTTTAAGAGAAAGATAAAGTTTATGCCACAATTATTTTTATTAGGTGTTATTGTAGACTTTGATGTTAAAGAAATTAATTTGATGTTGAATCTTAAAACAGCTGCAAGATTACTGGTGGGGCAATATTGGAAGAAAGATTCAGTGCCTACTATGGAAGAATGGATACTCAAAGTGTCTAATTTAGCAGAAATGGCAAAAATTTCCGCTTATTTGAAGGATTATTCACAAGAAAGATATATTTTGGTTTGGAGAAGATGGATAGATTATATCCAGAATAAATATGAGACTAAAAAGTATTATTTAGCTTATGAGTAAATTTTAGATTATTTTTAATAGTTTAATATGATTGAATTTATATTATTTTTAGTATTATTGTTTAATTATATTATTATTTTTGGTTTTTAATTTGTTAATATTTATTTTGAAAAGGAGTTAAAGTATGTTATGGATTTGATTGTTAGTAGAGTTGGGTAATGTTAGTTAGATTATGATTGCTTATTTGTAACCCTGTAATCAGCTCTGGGAAGTAGGGGGGAGGGGGGAGGGATTTGGGTTATATACTGTAAAAAAATTTTTAAACTTTTAATAAAAAAAAAACATTTGATCGTACAGTCCCCATTCATCCTTGTGAAACATTAACATCCCTTGAACAGGCTATAAACTATTGTTATAGATGTAAAATGCGGACTAAGAAAAAAAATTCATTCTTATATTGTACTAGAATCTGACACATGTAATGAAATGCTATCAATGACTACTAGTATGGCTATTATAGAAATGGACAGGTGCAATTATATCTATCTGCTGTGCTTTTAGATTCCCTAAAAGAACTTGATAGCTGTCTACTGTAATCAAAACAATGCTAGATTAGATTGATTTTGTGTGTGATCCAATGTAGGTGTTACATTTTTGTTTTCCGCAGCACCATAAAAATTATCTAGCCAAATATTTTTTCTTAAATATGAATTGTGTACAATCCATGTGCATACATACATCTTGGAATGTCACAGGCAATCAGCTACTATTCTGTTAAGCAGAGAGGCCAAGATCACATATCTTTAATAGGAATATTAATAGGAATATCTTGCACAGGATATTTTTAACAATGGGATGGAAAAATATCTAGATAGATTCTGAAATTCACATTTAAGAGGCAAACACAGGTACTTCTGATTGCAAAGGTTTTCAGTGGTTCTAATTCAAGAGTTTTCAAAGACTCAGGATCAGATCATTCCTCACTTTACACAATATATTAAGCATTTCATGCGCTACATGAGAAAAGCACATCTTCCTTCCCCTGTCCTGACCACTTTCTACAGGGGGACAATTGAGAGCATCCTGTCATACAGCATCACAGTCTGATTTGGAGGCATCACTGCTTCAGACAGGAAGGCTGTGCAGAGAGTGGTGAGAATGGCTGAAAAGATCATTGGCAGTTCCCTCCCTCCCATCCAGGACATAGCACAGAAGCGCTGCTTGAGCAGGGTCCGTAAGATCATCTGGGACACTACACATCATCTTCACGACCTGTTTTCCTTGTTACCTTCTGGGAGGAGGCTTCGTGGTATCCGAAGCAGAACATCCAGATTCAGCCACAGTTTCATTCCATACAGCATTAACCTTGTGAACTCTCAAGCTTCCTCCTTCCGTTTATATATTCAAGATGGACAATATTTAATATTTATTTGCTACGTATATGTAGGGATGTAGGTCTATACATATGTTGTTCATAGTATGTTTAGGTGTGTGTCGTGTATGTGTTTCACTTTGAGAGCGGGCAACTAAATTTCATTTTTGATGTGTGCCATTGTGCCCACAGTATAAAAATGACAATAAAGGTTATCTTATCTTATCTAAGAAATATGTTTGAATGATCTGTAAGTTTGCAAGTGAAATGAAAAGAAAGCATTGCAGTAGCTTATAGAAGAAGAAAAGAGTGCAGGAAAAAGTTATATAAAAAGAATACCTGGAAATGTAGAGTTATAAATATCATGAGAAGCAATCTTGTTTATTTCAATTTGTGAACCTACTTTTTAGCTTCTAGGTTTTAGATTTTTTGACTCTGATTTTTAGACACCAGGACCAGGTTTGTTCTTTTAGGGCATGATTTCTTTAACCGTACTTTAGTAAATAAAACACCCAACACGAGATGGTTTACAAATTACAAGGGGTGTGTGTGTGTGTGTGTGTGTGTGTGATACAAGCTGTGATACAACTAAACAGGCCGCATTATATATGTGCATATTTTGTGAGTCAGGTCTAATGAAGGGTCGGGGGGCAAAACGCTCCGGTATATTAAGAGAAATGATTTGATCGGCGGTGGTAAAGAGGGAGTTGAAGCAAAGCTTTTATAGCAATTGAGCTAATGAAGCGAGGTTTTTGCAAATTTTGACCAACAGGTATGCCGAAGACTTGAAACTCTCGGAAGAAGCTACTTAAGGCGAAATTCAGGATTCTACATTATGGTATAAATGCATACTATATTTTCTCCCGGAAACTTCGCCGCTTCCTCCCACCGAAAGGAACAAGAGGTAAGGAGAACTAGGCCTCTACAGTCAGCCTCTACTGTAGTTTAAAACGCCAAACTTGGCCACTATACCTCTTCCTCCGGGTGACCAAACGTTCGTCCAGCTTTCACCGTACTCCCGCTCTCTCTCTCTGGCCCGGACGAAAAAATAAAATAAAATCCCGAACGGTCCCCTTTGGGGGGGGGGGCCTCCGGCAGCAAAAATACCAGCAGCAAAACAGAAGGGACAAGGCGGCGCTTCCCGACAGCGCTCTCACGCAAGGAGGTCCTGCCTCCACTCCCACCCGATTGGCCCAGCAAGGAGAAGAGGCGGGGCAAGCAGGGATAGCCTACGATAAGCTGTGGTCCTTACGCGAGGAAAGGAACATTTCGGGTTCGAAGAAGAACATAGACGCGTTCATAGGTGCAGAGAAGGACTGTGTTTTGTTTTGTTTGTTTTGTTTTTGTTTTTCTACTACTAAGGCGGATTTTTAATGAGATTGGCGATTTTATATTGCAAGCTCTGGCTGCTGTAAACTACCGATTTAAATAACGCAAAGAACGAGGCTTGGGATTTTATATGACCCTCACGTAGATCTACAACCTGTCATTTCACGCTAACCGTCTTAATTAAAGAGGCTGAGATTTGAGAGATGGTATTGCCAAATCTTGCTTAGATTGCAGAGACGTCAAGAAACCAGTACAACTTTTCCGAGTGGCAAATTTTATTTCCAGGCTTTATCTCTGTTCAACTGGCATCAAAAGTTTTCAAGCAATCTCAGAAAGTCTCAACAAATACAAGTAGTTTTTTTAACGATTGTTAAAATTGTTCAATTGATTGTTAATTGATAAAGTACTTGTAATCTGTTTCACATGTAACCTGTATTTGCATAATCAACCTATCTTCTCTCTCTTCTTCCCCACACCCTAATTTAAATCCTGCATCACTCTCTAGCCATTCTAAACTTCTGATAAAGTGAACTGCAGCTTATGAAAGTTAATGTCTTTTAATAAAATTTATTAGTGAAAAAAAATGCGGTACCAGATTTCTGATTTTTTGTCACCATAGAATAACATGGTTCTCCTTTTACAGTGTCTTGTAGGAATGCGTGACGGGTCTTGTAACACTGGTTTAACTTGCACTGAGTTTATACAGTGAACCCTGTGGTCTTTCATACTATCATATGTTCATTTATGTGGCAGAGAAGTAAATTGATATTGCAAGAGATGCTAGGGTAGTAGAGTTGTGATTTTATATTCCCAGCATGTTTTTAAATGGTGGAGACTTATTTTGTATCATCATCTGATTTCATTCACAGAAATCAGTGATCACCAACACAGGTTTACATAGTAAGGATGCACTGAACTCATCTTTATAAGTGGAAGATCATTTTATTTCACTATTCAGTGGTGCAAATCATATATGTTCGTTGCAATATCAGTGCCTATGTTCTTAAACCTCTATTATGGTCCACTTTCCCTTAAGCTGCTAGGAGCTTAAGGGAAATAGAGGTAACAGTATATTATGCCATTACCACGAATAGGGGTTTCATTTGTTCTCAAAAAAGTTGTTGTATTGTTGAGAATTCTTGAAAGATTCTAGAGTAAAGTGTAACTTAGAAACCATTACATAGCAGTTTCATACATAACATTCTTGCAATTCTCTATGTGCATCTCTGCAATGTGACATTCCTAGGCGCCTGGCATGCCATAATGAACAATGATCTATAAGTGACAAATTTCTCATTGTGGAATAGTTGTTCAGGCGCAATTATCTCTAGAGCAGGGGTGTCAAACTGCGGCCTTCAGGTTGGATGCGTCACGCCAAAACCGCGCCTACCCCATTGCCGGCAATGGGAAAAAAGTCGCAATAAGTCACGAAATGTCACAGAATGTCGCAAGTTTGACACTCATGCTCTAGAGCAGGGGTGTCAAACTGCTGGCCCACGCGCTGGACACGTCACGAGGAAACTGCACCCATCCCATTGCCGGCAATGGAGAAAAAGCTCTGATACATCACATGATGTCGTGAGTTTGACATGTCTGCTCTAGAAGGAATTACCCAAGAAACTATTACTGATTATATTAGTAGTTTTACTATGGCAAGGAACCATAAATACATTTAGCATCTCATATTTTGTGCAGTCTAATACACCTTTCTAAAGAGACTTCATTTTAACGTTAAAATGTGATAACATATTTCATACAAGCAAGGGAAACTATATAGGTTCCTTAAGGAACAGTGCTTTTCTTCATCCAACTTGCAAAACAAAAGTGGTATTGGAGCAAGTACTGACAGAAATAAGAATGAGAGGACTACTGAAATGATTGCAAACACATGTATTTTCTCCAACTTCTAGCAACATTGATATGTACTGGATACTCCATAACCAACAAAACAAATGAAAAAAAAAATCCCAGTACCTGAGAAGAGATATTTTATGAAGTAACTACATAAACAGAGGCCACAAAAAACCTTTAAGAAGAGGTTACTATGAATGGAATGGAGCAGCAATTGATTATAAAAGTTAAATTGGATTATGATGCAGCCTTTCAGATGATGCTGTCAAGGCAAACAGGAAAAAAAAGTGCTAAGCATACATAGTGTTTAAATTATTTCTCGCTGCATTGTTGCTAGGAACATTCCAACTATGGTTGCTGTTTACTAGCAGGCCCTAAAGACTGACTGCACTCACAGGAAAGCAAATCCAGCTAGGGAGAGACGCTGTCACCATAGCAACCAAAAACCATTCAGAACAGGCATGCTGCTGCAACCGATAGTAAGTGTTTTATTTTTTTCACATTATTTAAGTTTTCATTTATATCAAATAAGACTTTCATTAACTGCAAGAGCTTGGACTTCCCAGTAGTTTTTCTGCCAAGAAAGTCTCCCTTACCTTACCTGTTCATGTATGCAGTCTTTTCTGGGAACAATTGAAGTCCCAAACCCAAAATATGTACTATCTTGCTTTTCTCAGATATTCAGGATTTTCATCGTATCTAATCTTTGTCTCGCTAAAATTTGGACAGCTATACAGGAGAAAGAGAACAGAAAGAAATTATCTTCTATCCTGTAGATACTGAGCGGAGGAGGGCTTATTCCAGGCCTTTATTTAGGTAGTGTGTTGAAACTGAATATCTGAATAAGTGTACAACTCAAATGTAATCTTGGTATGATTAGTACTGTCCACCTATCTGATATTTTCAATTCTTATCTAGGCAATCTTATTTATTTCTGTAACCTGTTGTTGTTTTGAAGTTGGAAATACAGCAAATGTGTTGAAGCCTTTGCAAAAGTGAGGGCTGAATATATTTTCTTCTAGGATGGTCTAACTATATTGTACAGCAAGTTTTATTTCATTTGATGGCCTCCAAAACATGGGCTTTAGTTTTCCACTTTTCAAAATAAAAAAGAGGTTGATGAGGGAAAAGTTGTTCTGGACCATTGGGCTGATTTGTTACTAACGAAGTGCTTCATTCTGCTATGTAGGAGTACACTTGGCTAACACATTAAAAACTGAAATCAATGTTTCTATTGCGGTGCCTTTATGTGTCTGAAAAGTGAAAAATGTGAGATATAATTCGAAAAGAAAATGCTACCCTCTGTAACATTAAAAAGAAATGTGCCAAATAGTCATCTGTTGTAGTACAAACAAAGCTGATAATGTTTCTTTATTTTCAGAAGTAGACAATTCTTGTTAGATAAATATTTTGAAAAGGATTTCATTGGGTGCAAGGATATTTCCATTTGATTTATTTACACGGCTAGTGTTTGCATTGCTGTCAGGTCTCTTCAGGAGTTGAACTGAGCTGATTTATTACCTATTACCTGTTCAAACTGACTTTGAAGCTGACTTTCAGCTGGATCCACTGTTGCTCTGCAGACCTTGAGGAGAGACTGTTTTCCCATTGAAGGAAAGGTCTCCTTGATCGCCAGTGGAAAGGTGCGATGTGAATTCTGTGCATGAGCCACGGAAATACAGACCCTTGCACCCTCAAAGCTCATGCCACTTCCTCGCTCAGGATGCACCACTGCTTTGCAGATGCGTTCAACTTTGTGGCTCAGCCGCAGCTGAAGAGTTTAGCTGAGCCACAAAATTGAACACGCCTGCAAAGCAGTGATGCGCCCCAAGTGAGGAAGCGGCATGAGCTTTGAGGGCGCAAGTGTCTGTATTTCTTCAGCTCATGCGCAGAATTCACACCGCACCTTCCCGTTGGCGATCAAGGAAGCTAATCATGGTAAATACAAATCATTTTTTTTTGAAAAATAAAGGGATAGATTACAATATTAATGAATGTAAATGAAAAGGCAGTTTCCAAAGGCCTCCTCCCCTTACCAAGGTAAACTTGAGTTGCCTGGTGGGGCCGGGCACCGGCCGGGCTGGGCCTTGTGGTGAATAAAATAAAACACCCTCTGAAAATAAGCCCTAATGGGTCTTTTTGACCAAAAATAAATATAAGACCCAGGCTTATTTTCAGGGAAACATGGTATTAAATAAGATAGCCAGTTTGGAATGGTGGTTAAGGCATCATGCTAGAAACTGGGAGACCATGTATTCTAGTCCCACCCTAGCCATGAAACCTGTTGGGTGAGCTTGGGTCAGTCACTCTCATTTAGCCTTAGGAAGCAGCCAATGATAAACCACTTCTGAAAAATCTTGGCAAGAAAACTGCATGGATTTGTCTAGATCAGTGGTGGTGCCAGAGGTGGCACTCAGAGCCCTCTCTGTGGGCACACGCGCCATTCCCTGGAGATAGCAACCATCCCTCTTCAACCAGCCACCCGCTAACTCACTGAGGTCCCACATGGCTGGATGCAACCCAGCACCCATGCGCTTGCTGGCCTCTGTGTCCAGGGGCTGATGGTGTCAGGCAGCAGCCGCCCCGGCCCCTACCTCACCTTGCCCTGTGACAATGGCACCCCCGCCCTGCCTCGCCTTGCCTCACCTCATCCCGCAGGACATGCCTCCTGCCCACTGCCCCACCTAATTTGTTACATATATTTCTTATAACATAATTGCATGTAGTTTAAATCAGCAGTCCCAAACCTTTATGGCTTGGCGGCCCGGTGGGGGGGGGAGAGTGGAACTGGCTCACTGTTCATGCAAGTCGAGCTATATGTGCGTGCATGTGTGCACCAGCCCACCACTTGTGCAAGTTGAGCTGCGCACATCGGCACCAGCCTACACCTTGTGCAAGTCGAGTTGCATGTGCACATGTGCGCTGGTCAGCTGCTCGCACGGCCTAGTAGTGGGCCGTGGCCTGGGGGTTGGGGAC